GTGCTACAGATTGAACCCATCTCCTTCTCATTGAGCTGCATGGCTAGGCTGTTTTTTTGTTGGTCTGTTTGTTTCTTTTGAGACAGTCTCACTAAGTGGCCCAAACTGGGTGGGTTCAAACTCACAAACCTCCTGCCTCAGCCTCCCAGAGTACCTTGATCCAGGTGTGCACCAGCATGCTCTGCTTGAAACCCTCTTTTGAAAGGTTTCACCTTTTCCTGTCCATGAACTTTACACTACAGTATCATGATTCTTGTTCAACCCAAGCCCCCTTTTTGGAGAGCTCCCTTTACAGACGAATCCTTCCTAAATATCCTGGCTCTGCCTTGGTTGGCTATTGGCTCTCTGAGGGCAGTGTTCCTGCCTGTGATGACAGCAAACACTGCTCTGAACTAGCACAAAGTTGCATTGATGGTCTTATCAGGAAGCCAGCATTCAATTCTTGAATGCCACCAAGATCCAACTGAGATCTGCAGCTCAACACCCTTTACTAATGCAGCTATCCCTCTGTGCTTCCTGCAAGAGTCTTCTGGACTAAAAGAGTTTGGGACAGAAGTCTTGCATGGGGCCCAAGGTCTAATTTCACTTTTTCTCTCTCTGTTCTTATTTTTTCAAAGACTCCTTAAGTCTATAGAAGTGTCCAATCGGTGGCCAGCCTCCAGCCCCTCCCTGGAGAAAGGAGGGACTGCATCTTGGCTTGTACATAAAATATCTGATATGCTTCAAATATATAAATAACAAAAGTTTCCTTTAAAAATATTTTTAATACAACATTTTTAAAAAGAATGCCAAAAATAGTGAGCCACACTTTGGATACTGCTGCAAGGATTCAATAAGCTAGAGAGAGCATCGCAGAGAAATTTGGAATTATTTTAGAGACATAATGCAGAGCATTGATATACTAGTAGAAATTTCAGATGCAGAAAGTTCAATAAAAAATAGTCAAAAGTGACTTTAAAGAACTTGGTTTATTAAAAAGAAAAAAAGAGGTTTAGAGAAAAGCTGCTCAGATGTTAGCCAAGTTTATAGGTCATTTTCCTTCATCTTCTTGATCAAAATAAATCGCTGATTTAGTTCTTTGTCAAGAGAGAAGTCCAAAGGGGACTTCAGGGTCCAGCCCTTTTCCTAGGAAAAGCACTGAGTAGATCCTGAAGCAGATGGGCCCTGGCTCTTGCCCTTTTTTCGTGAATGACCCTAACCCAGAAAGAGAGAATTTAGAGGATTTAATATACAACTAGAAACTAAAATAAGAAACAATCCCACAGACAGGCCCCTAAAACCTTACCGAATGGTTTGCAAGAGACTTAAAACTTAGAAATGAAAGGGGAGTGTGGTGGCACATGTCTGTAATTTCAGCACTGTGGAGACTGAGGCAAGAGGATTGCTATGAATTCAAGGCTAGCCTGGGCTACATAGTGAGTCCAAGTCAAGCCTAACCTTCATAATGAGACACTGTCTCAAAAACAAATAAATAATCAAAAAAATTAAAGGGGAAAAAAGTCACCAATGAAGATGTTCAATTTCCCATTCTATTCTTAGACCCACAAGGAAACATTTCTCTGGAAATTAAAGGACAAGCTCACAAACTTTTGATTGAAATGGGTACCATAATATCACTAATAACAATAGTACTGAAAAATAGTCATTCTCTGCTGTACCAAACTCAGATACTACTTTACCTTTGAGGTCTCAGGACTTACAATGGTGAATCTGTGGTGTACTTTTTTCTAGATCAAAGCAGCCAATGTTTCTGCCCATCTTCTTTGGGAGAAAACACCATATGTGGATCCTTGTGCTTTGGTTCATGCCTTCCACAAATGTTCAGCCAGGTACCCAAAGTCCTCCAAGTGTCCTATGATTCTGTTCTTTTTTTTTGTTTTTATCGGTACCGGGGATCGAACTCACAACTGCCTGCTTGCAAGACAGGCGCTTATGCCGCTGAGCTAAATCCCCAGCCCCAAGAGGTAAATCTCATACTCCACACAACCAGATGTGCAAAATGCTCTGGACCGAAAAAAAAAAAAAAAAAAAAAAAAAACCTATTGCATTCCTGGATCTTACTGGTCTTTTCTGAAAATTTCCACGTCATTATTTGACTTAGTAACATTTTCCCCTGGGAATCCAAACAAGGGCAGGCCTTTTGTGGGTTAAAATGAGCTTTTCACTACGACTCTCTCTGGGCCTACCTAGATTATCACTATTCAACCTGCAAGTTTATGAGCAGCCTCATCAAGTTGCTACTTTCATGAGAATCATCAACAACAGCCTTTCCCAGCCCAGTGGTAAAGGCCTCTCTGCCTAATGATGGTGGCAGATGTCTTCAGCTGACTCAGTTTTAGAGTCCAGCCAGTGTAGTTTCTGCTGCTCACCGAAAAGACACATTTCTCAGCAAGTGTGCTTACTTCCTTTGAACTCCACACTTCCTCGGAAGCACCAGTAAGCCTGTCAAGGCCAAGGGTCCTCCTGTCTGTAGTAAGCAAAATTCAGTTTGGCACTGCTCCCTTACTTTCTCTGTCTCTCTCTTTCCTGGGGATTGAACCAAGGGCCTTCCCATTGAGCAACATTCGCAGACCTGTTTATTTTTCATTTTGAAATGGGATCTCTAAATTGTTACATTACCAGGCTGGGTTTGAATTTGCAGTCCTTCCAGAGTGCTGGAATTACAGGCGTGTGCCATGATACCTGGGTCCAGCTTGGTTTATTTTTTGGTGTTTTGAGGCTAAGCCTGCCAAGGCTCCATAGTCCAGGCTGGCCTCTAATTCATGGCTCCTCAGTTCTGGGATTTCAGGCATGAACCACCATGCCCTTGGTTTATTACCAAGCTGTAAGCATTTTGGTGAGCTGCCATATCACAGCAGTCTTTATCAGAATTTGTTACGAGTTTTCATCTGAGAGATTTCACATTACAACACCCTATTTTCTAGTTGCTTTTTACATTGGCAAATGCTGCGAGCACAGATCCCCTCTGTTCCTGCAGTCTGAAACTTCTCTGGAAAAGGGTAGTTGCTAGAATCCTCGGGTCTTGTGCCTGCTGGAAACCATTGGAGAAGGGGTCAGGCATATTGAGGACCAGCCTGTGATACATCTGAGGCATGCCGGCTGTGACACCCCAACCCACTGCCTACACATACATTTATTTACTGGGGACCCGGTCAAAGGAACACCACACAAGGCTGCCTCTGCAGTGCTCTGCACCCTGGGAAAGGGCTGGCAATGAATGTACTGTGGAGAAGAGGGGGAGGTTTCCTTGTTTGCAGCCAGGTCACCTCCTTTTATCCACCAGGCCTTGGCCCTGGGAGCTGACTCCCAGGAACTCGGAGATGGGGCCGGGATGGGGATCACAGTGTGTTCTTTGGCCATACTAACCCAAATTCTCTCTCCAGAGAAATACAGTTCTGATGACCATTAAGGGCAGCCAGAGGATAATAGAAAGCCAGTCAGACAGGAAGGGCGTATGGGCCGATTGACAAAATTGTTTCCAAATTCCCACTGCCAGAGCTGTCCTATTTTCCCCCTCTGCCTCGGGGTCCCGGGTCTTAGGGTAGGTCTCAGGGGTTCCAAGCAGCACCTGGGGACAGGTAATCCTCCCCCCAGGCAAGGACTGAGTGTCCATAAGGGAATTGGGCTGAAGTATCTAAAAGATGACCTCCGGAGGAAAGGTCCCACAGGGCTAGGCACGGGGAAACCCTTCCCACAGATAGTGGCGCGCAAACGTGAGGCCGAGAGCGCTTTCCGGGCACACTCCCAAAGCCTTGGGGCAGGGCGGCGACCTCTGCATTGGGACTGAAGTGGTCACTTTAACTCCTAGGAGTCTAAGAGTGTCAGTTTGGCCTGACCCTGCTGTCTGGTGCCGTCTTAGGGCTGGGTCAAACAACCTGTGAAACGATGTTGTGGGCTGCTGTAGTCGTTTCTTAAGTGACACCCTCAGTGACTACGTAGAACAGCGAGCCTCTGTCGCACCGGGGCGGGGCCGTAACCAGTCTCTCAACTAGGTGACAAGGCCCCTCCTCTCCAGGCCCCGCCTGTTATCCTTTGAACTTCAGGAAACCCAGCGGCAGCGCCCGGTTAAACTTAGCTAAGCTTCATGAAGCTTTGATCAGTCTTGAGACACCACGGTGAAGAAATAAGTAAATATGAAGTTGCAGGGACAGTTTGAGCCTTTAAAAAATCCAGGGCAACGGAGATTCAAGCCAGCCAGCTAGTGTAGTACAATTAAGTTACAGAGAAACGACGCTGTTAAGAAAACAAAAGTTGGGCACGCGCCGGTGCTCCCAGCACTTTGGGAGGCTGAGGCAGGAGGATCGCAATTTCGAGCTAGCCTGAGCGAGACCTTGTTTCAAAAAAAGACATAAAAACTGGATTGGGGATGGAGTTCAGTGCAAAGACCCTGGGTTCGATCCTTAGTACCTTAAGTAAACTACATTAAAAACGCTTGCCTGGATGGTAGGGCTCCAAGGGAGGCTCACGAGGCGACCGGCTCAGCGGGCGGGGCACACCCCCAGATTTGTGACGCGCGGGGTCGGCAGCGGTGACGGGACCCCCACTAGCCGGGCGGCGGGGGACAGCGCCCCGAGGGGACGGGGCGGGCTGGGCGCCCGGCCACGCGCAGCATTCAAGTGAGCTTGGACTCAGCGGCAGCGGCGGCGGGGGGCGGGCGCCGGTCGCGCGCCCGGCCGCGGTGGCCGCGGTGTCCCCGGGGCCGCGCCTCGCCCCCGCAGGTTCAGGGCCGGGGCCGGGGCCGGGGCCGGAGCCGGGGTCGGGGCGGCGGGCGGCGGCGCGCGGACCCGCGGCGGGTCCTGTGGGCTCGGCGGCGGCAGCGGCGGCAAGAGCTCGTGCGGCTGCGGCGGGGGCTGCGGGGCCCCTCGGGGGTGCGGGGGCGGCGGGGCCGGAGCCCGAGCGCGCGGCGCAGCCCGGGGCCGCCCCTCGCTGCGCGCGCTCCGCTGCCCCCGCCGCCCGCGCCCCGGCCGCCGCCCGCGCTGCCGTCGACCCCGCCCGCCGGCGCGCCGCAGCCGGGACGCCGCCCCCGGCCGGGGCTGCCCCGCTCGGCCGCGGCGCCGGCGCGAAGATGGCTGCGAAGGGCGCACACGGCGCCCACCTGAAGGCGGAGGGCGAGCTGGAGCGCTGCCGCGCCGAGGGCCGCTGGGGCCGCCTGCCCGAGCTCGCCCAGCAGCTGCGCGCGCCCGGCGGAGGGCGCAGAGTCAACTCGGGCCCCGGGCCCGCCGTGCCGGACACGGGTGAGTGCGGGGCGCCGGGTCGCGCGGGTCCCGCGGGGCCGGGCCGGGGCGGAGCGGGAGCAGGGCCAGTGGTCTGTCCTCCAGGGGCTCGGCGTCCCCCACCTCCCGGAAGCGCTGGAGCCTGCGCTCCCTGAACTTCTTTGGTGGAAGCGATGTCTGCCCCGTCCTTCTTTTCCCCAAGTAGAGTGGAAACCGGAGCTCCGGCCGCAGCTGACCGGTGGCGGGTGCCTAGCGCCCGGGGAGGGTGGTGAGCTGGGGAAAGAGGCCTGGCGAAACTCAGTTTCCTCGTCTATGGTGGACACAGTGGGAGGCTCTCATGAGGGCTGGTTTAGCTGGGCTGGGCTCCTGTACTGGGCGGGAGGACACTCAATGAGGCGCGAGAACATCCGCCCAGGCTCCAGCACCAGGTAGTGTGCTTGGTGCCCTCCCCTAGGTACGGGGAGCCCTCGTAGGGCCCAACGTGGCATAGCCTGGGAGTGTTGGCTGCAGAGGCGCAGATCTGAAGTGCTTTAAAAATTGTCCAGCCTGGGAACGGTGGTAATGGTGATGACAGCCAGCACTACTGCTCTTGTTTGCCCACTTTACAGTTAAGGAAATTGAAGCCTAGAGAAATTAAGTGATATGGCCCTGTTGCCACTGTTCTTATTTTGTTTTGTTTTTCGCAAACCTCTGGGTTTTTTGAGACGAGGCTGTGTCGCTTAGGCTGACCTTGAGCTCACTAGGTAGCCCAGGCTGGCCTCGAACTCATGGTAACCTTGCTCCCTCAGCCTCCAGAGTGTTGGGATCATAAGCACACCAATCCCCCCTGCACCTCCTGCTAGCCTATCCCTCTACTCATTTGGCCATGTCGCAAAGACTCGTGGCATAAAGTCCCATCCTGATGATGCTCTCTCAGGGTATTTGGTGTTGAATTGTGGAGTTCAGAGAAAGTGACGGAGCTTACATTGGCCCCTGCCTGGTATTTAGGGGAGGGGAGGATGTGTAGGGCCAAAGGGGAAGGGGATGGAGGACTTGGTGGCAGGGATGGAAGATCTGTTTGAGGCTTTAGTGTACCTCTGAGCCTGGCAGTGGGAGCTTGGGCAGACTTGAGGTGCAGGTTTGGAGAATCAGGTGAGCCCTTTTCCAGAGCAGAAGAGATCAACTAAGGAGTTTCTGGGTAGATGTGGGAATCTGAGAGCCAGAGAACCAAAGAGACAGGGACTGGGCTCAAGAGAGAAAATGGTAGAATTCAGGGCCATAATGTGCCCAATTTATGTGCAAATCTTGCCACGATTCTCAGACTGACTTTGGCCATATTGTATGGAAAATCATCGGAAAATTGTTATAGCGTAGGTTATACGTGGCACAGTGTAAAGTGTTGTGTATTTTTTTTTTTTTTTTTGTCGGTACCGGGGATCAAACTCATGACTGCCTGCTTGCCAGGCAGGTGCTTATGCCGCTGAGCTAAGTCCCCAGCCCCTGTTGTGTATTATTTTAAAATTCTCATGAGGAGGGTAGGGCATGTGTCCCTGTACAGGAAAGATGTGGGGGCACTAGGGTCACTAGAGGTCACGTAATGCTTATGTGGTAAAGCCTCTATCCAGCCAGTGCCCCTGCCAGCCCCCTCGAGGTGGAAAGAAGGCTTGGAGCCTGGGCAAGCTTCACTGTAGGGATTGGTCCGTGCAATGAGGAACACTCCGGCACTGGGGATCTCTCCTGACAACTTTGGGGTTTGGTTCTGTGAGTGATTTCTGTTAAGTCCAGATACACTGCCACCCAGCACACATTTGTGCACAATCATGTGTGCACACAAATACTAACATGAGAAAAGAAGACCAGTGGAGGAAGAGGGGAGGGGAAGGGGATGAAAAAAGAATTCAGATGCGTTACATCCATGTACTGACTCCTCATAATGAATATAATCATTATGTGCTGCAAGCATATACTAGTGAAAATACATAAAAATAAGCCTGGTATGGTAGTGCACAACTGTGATTCCAGCATTCCAGAGGCTGAGGCAGTAGGATCACCAAGAGATTGAGGCCATCCTGGGCTACTCAGTGAGTTCCAAACTAGCCTGATAATATATATATATATATATATATATATATTCCTACAAAAGAACATAAAAAAATAAAACAAATGATAGAGACAAACAAAACCAGTAAACACATTAAAAACAACAAAAAGAAAAGGAAAAAGAAAGCCATTGATTCCAAATCCCACACATAGAGCATTTGTGTGTGTGTAGCGGGGACTGCTATTTTGGTGCTCAAGACTTCTTGATCACTGGAAATCAAGAACCCATTTTTTTTTTTTTTCCAAGATGTTGGCACTAGTCCACACACTGCAGCCGAGGAGGAAGAGTGTCAGTGTCCCCTGGCCTGTTAGACTTCCAGTCAGTGGCCCAAAGCCTCAACAGCCACATGGTACAGGGGAGGTGTGGGAGGTACTCAGGGAGCAGAACCCAGTGAACCCCATTTTTCTGAGGCCTTGAGGCCTGCTGTGTCAGAGATTTCTAGAGTAAGGCTAGCCCCCAGTACATAGGTTTCACTCTGGAGGACAGGAGGATGGCCCTGTGGGGGGTCCCCCATGGGTGGTAGGAAGGTCAGGACATGCTGAAGCAGAACAGGTCCCTGCACCCTCTTCCTGTTTGAGAAGGTTTCTCCCATCACCCCCAGGGGAAGCTAGTTACTACTGTTGTGTGTTTTCTTCAAATTACATCCGGCTTAGATTTGGTCAGGATGAAGCAGGGGAACCCCAGAGTGTGGCTGGTGCCGCTGGGGTTTATTTTTATAAAAAACAAGGACTCCCCTTTAATCCCAGCACTCTGGAAGGCTTGGTTAGGAGGATCATATGTGGGAGCTTCGCCCGGGTGACTTAGCAAGACTGTCTCAAAATAAAAACTAAGGAGGTCTGGGTATGAGCTCCGTGTGAAGGCCTTACATTCAATCCCCAGCGCTACAAAAGTAAGAACAAAAACAAAACAAAACAAAAAAACCATCCAAGGAGCCTATCCCAGTGATTAAAAAAAAAAAGCTTATGAAAAAGTTTTAAAACATTTTTAAAGAAAGATGAACTCTACTATCCAGCTTGACTGAATATGAGCTCATAAGCCATCTTGTTGACTATACTGCCACACTTTAGTATTTCAGTGTATATTTATTAAATAAGAATTTTTTAAAACTTACAACCACTGGGCTGGGGATTTAGCTCAGCGGCTTAAGCACCTGCCTTGCAAGCACATGGTCGTGAGTTTGATCCCCAGTACAAAAAAAAAAGAAAAATAAATTATAATCATTATATATTTTTTTATTTCTTTTTTTTTTTTTTTTGAGACATATACTCATATACATATACTCAATATGTAGCCCAGACTGTCCTTGAACTCGTGGTGATCCTCTTGCTTCAGCCTCCCAAGTGCTGGGATCACAGAAGTGTACCACCACGCCTGACTCCACCATATCATTATTACTTCTCAAAAAAGCTAGCAATTTTCCAGGTCTAATAGGCCTGTAATCCCAGCACTGTTGAGGCTGAGGTAGGAGGATTGTGAGTTCATGGTCAGACTGGTCTATATAACACGACCCTATTGAAAAAAATTTTATTTAAATTAAAATTAAATTTTAGAGTTAGTTTGTCAGCCAAGATCTGAATAAGGCCACACTTGACATTCGATTGTTGAATTGAACCAATTTCCAATATTTTACTAATTTCAAATGTGGAGCAGAGATCAAAAAATTTTGCAGTTAATACTTGCTTACCCCCACTAGAATCTTGTTTCTTGAGTCTCTATCTCTAGGGGAGCCGTCTTTCTGTTTCGTTTTTATTTTTAGTTGATTTTTTTTCCACTAGAGATTGTTTTCTACTGGGCAAGTCAGCAGGGGTGCGCTGGAGGCAGGTGGCCTTCTGTAGATATTGGGCTGTTCCCTGGCTGGCTATGAATGGAAGGCCCCACCAGCTGCAAAAACCACTGGGCCTGTTTGACCTGATAGGACAGGGGCTGGCTAGACCACATTTCCTAAGGCAGTGGTGTGTTAATGTAGAGTCCTTTTTTCTAAACTGAAACCTCATGATTCAGGTTTAATTGTAATGTTGGCGCTTGTGAGTTTGGGGTTGCAGTTTGGCCTTTGGTCCCTGAAAGCTTCTTATCACCATCCTAAGGGTAGGCATGTAGAGAGAAGGACTGTGAGGTATGGGCAGGAGGCAGGTGGTTTCCAAGAGGGCCTCTGGGACCAGGCACCCTGAGAGAGGCCGGGGAGGAGCCAGAGGCTTTCAAAACATGAGTTGGGGGAGGAGACTGAGTAGCTACCTCCTTTGGGTCTTCCCTGTGGCCAGGGTTGGGGGGACATCATAGCTACTTTACTGTCTGTCTAGGAGGCCTTCTCCTGGGAGGAGACAAGCTGGCCAAGGGGTGGGCTTCAGACAGCAGGATGCTAAGAAGCAGCTTGATTGGCCTTTGGGAGGTGAGGATGCTTTATCAACCTGGATTCTTAACTACTGAAAAATCAGTATTTTTTTTCAATACTGAGGATTGAATCCAGGGCTTTTACACCAAGCTGCATCCCTTTGGCCCTTCATTTTTAAATTTTATTTTATTTATTTAATTTTGAGCCAGAGTCTTAAGTCAATAAACTGCCCAGGCTGGGCTTGAATTCGGTATCCTCCTGCTTCAGGCTCCATGAGTGCTAGAATGACAGGTATGCCTGGCTTTGAAAATGTACAACTTTTAATTTGCAAACATCCTGTAGCTCCATAGACAGGCCAGTTGAGAATAGTGGGGTGGAAAGTGGGCAAAGAAAGAGAGAGGTGGAACCGGAAGAAGGAGAGTTAAACAAGGGAAGAAAATTAACTGAATTTCTGACAGCCGCTGAAGGTCTGCTAAACAGAGATGTAGCCAGGAGACCCTAGAGAGGAAGTCCGTCCACCACAAGGACAGAAAGTGTCTGTGAACAAAAAATCTGAAGCGCCTGAGTCCCTGAAAGTAAGAACAATTTTTACCCTGCCTATGGGGTTTACTCTGCGCTTCAGCCTACGCTTCAGTCTGTAGACTATTGTTGATTTTTGACTTCTTAAAAGCCATGCTCTGCAGGAGGTGCAGCACAGACAGATTATATTTTGGCAGTGTTATTGTGTGTGACCCTAACAATATTTCTTGTGTGTGTTTTGGTCTATAAAATGGGAATATCCATCTTTTAGGGCTTTGCAGATTAATGAAAATATATAATAAAGTGCCTGGCACTCTGTAAGCCCTTAAATACTAGTGCTCCTTTTACAGACTAGGTTACTCTTAGAGATTAGAGCAGTGCTTCTCTAAGGGACTGTGGTGAGGAATCAGTTTTGTTTTGTTTTGTTTCATCTGTTGTGCTTTCATACTTTCATAAAATACAGTATAAATGAAGCACTAGCAAGATGACGGAAAAATACACCTATCAATTTTTCATCCTTCTACTCAAAATTGTTCAGTCCACTCTTATTGAACCGTATGTGCACTGCTTCCCTAAGGGCTGGATCACAGCGCTGGGGTTCAGAGGACACCCCGGTTATTTGGAGGAAAGGAGAAAAGAAGAAAGCTAAGCAGGATTCTCTGGGTTTGAAAGGTATGGGGGGCGGGGCAGAGGACCAGGACCTGCCCAGGGGCGGAGCCCGGGGGTAGGCGTTCATTGCCCTTCTTAGGAGTGATCTGCCTACCTTGAGTTTTTGTTTTTGTTTTCATTACTGTATTAGGGAGTGAACTCAAGACCTTTGAGCTACACGGATAAACGCTTTCTTACTATTTTGAGATAGATTCTTGTGAAGTCACTAAACTGCCTCAACCTTGCAATCCTCCTGCTTCTAGAGGCAGAGGGCTGGGATTCTAGGCAAGCACCACCATGCCCAGACCAAGCCTGAGTTTTACAGATGCAAAGCTGAGAGAACCTTCTCCCTAGAGGGAGACTTAGGCTTTCACTGAAAACTTGCTAGGCAGTTGCCCCTCCTCCTGGCTGAGATTTGGAAATGTAGATTGCCTGTCAGTGTTGATTAGATTTAAATTTATTTTTTGTTAGGTAATGTACTTACATGGCTCAGTCATTTCATTGGTGCAAAAAAGTAGAGTGGAAAGCGTTTGCCATTTTCCCACTAAAATGGCACTGCTGGTACAGTCTGTTAGGGCTGTGTGTGTGTGTGTGTGTGTGTGTGTGTGTGCTGTCATATACTAGTATGCATGAATGTACAGTAGCATATTACTCTGCTGTTTTATCAGTTGGTCTCTTAGTATGCTCCATAAAAGCACGTACAGTGTTGTCATTCCTCTTCATGGCTGCATGGCATCCCTTGTTACATGTGTCTCACACTTTAATTAGCCTCCTGATGGACAGAAAGGCTATCACTATTTTATTGCTGGTGTAAATAATACTGCAGGAAGGATCTTATACCACAGGCCGTACAGGTGTAGAAGGGAATCTGTACTGACGGAATTGTTGGACCATTGGCATATACAGAAGCAGGTTTGATCCGTGTTGCCAGGCAGCCCTTTAGAAAGGTTCTACCCACTTGTGCTCTGATAGCAATGAATTGGAGTTTGGGCCAGGTACTTTTATGGGTATTTTCTCAAGATGTTAATTTTAAAAAACATGAGGTAAATAGCAAAAGATACCATATCTGATGTTCTCAGGGCAAACATCTGATGTTCCTGGGACTGTACTGTTAGGATTCTGAGAATCTGGGCTGCTCTCTGCAGGAAGTCTTTTTAAAGGGAGGAGATTCCTCCTTGAAAGTATACAGTTTTAGACCAGTGCCTTTGAGATGAGCCAACTTTGAGATCCTCAGAGTGAGGAAGGAGAAGCATCCTGGCTGCAAATCAAACTGAAAAGATGGGCTGAGCAGACATCTCTAAAGACTGATGGTAGGCGCTAATCTTGCTGATCCTGATGGCTGCTGCTTTGGGGGGTTGAGAGGATCTGATTCATTCAACAGGTAATTGCTGGGCACTTGTAGTGAGTGGTAGGCCTGGCCCCCGCCCAGGGAGCTAGCTGGGGGATGGACACTGAACAGTCAGCTATGTGAGGCCACACTTGGTCCCAAACCCCGTACCCCACACACCAGGCTCAGGTGCCCAAGTCACCTCGACTGCATGTGGCAGCGGGAGGCAGCAAGTTCAACCAGGCAGTGGGAGCCACCTGCCAGCCAGTAAGGTATGCAGTTGAGCTCTGTATCTGAGAGAACTCCCAAAGTGCCAGTAGGAAACGTGCTCAAACATTTGCCTGACACTCCAGCCCAGGGGCTTCCCACCTCACTCTGCTTAGACTGCCAGGGAGCCTTACACTAAAAGTACCTCAAAATGGGAAACAACAACTTAGGTTTACACAGACGTTAGGAGCCTGGGAAAACGCGTTAGTAAGTCACTCAATATAGTTTTCCTCTTCAGTAGTTTGTGGAGAATTTCTTCTTGGTTTAAAAACTTATTATCCACAGCAGGACCTAGGTATGACTTTGGCCTTTATTTTAATTCTTAAATTCTGGAAATTTGTCCCTAAATCCTGGAAAGTCTGCCTTCTCAAGTATTAAACTATAGCAGGAAACAAACCCAAAGGGGCAACTTGTACGGTAACTGTGCTGCTCTTTAGAAGCTCTCTGAGTTTATGGAAAATGTGTACCACTCATATGCTGGATGGGAATGTTTGGGGGGTCCAGGGATAGTGCTAGTCTCCACATGGACTTTGGGTCACTCCCAGGAGCTGCCTTCGCTACCCATTCTGATCCTTGCCTTGCTTTTCAGATGACTTTGGGAAATTGTTGCTGGCCGAGGCCCTCCTGGAGCAGTGTTTGAAGGAGAACCAAGGCAAAATAAAAGACTCCATCCCTCTCCTGGAGAAGAATGAGAGCAGGATGATTGAAGCCAAAAATTATCTGAGCAGTGTCCTTACCCATGGGCGGCTGTCGGTGAGTTGTTAGACCGCAAGCCCAGAGCCTCTTCTCCTCTCCTCTCCTGTCTTGCCTGCCATATGCTGTCCCAGCCCTTTCTGGGTCACTTGATTACTAGAGCAACAAGTCTGTCTGAATAGTTGGCCTGGCACTGCTCCGTACGCTAGCCATGGCTGCAGGGGGTGCTTTGTCACTGATGGCATGGCTAGTTACATTGAGATGTCCCTGAGTGTGAATGATTGCAGACTCGGCGTAAAACAAGGAATGTTGAAGAGCCCTGACTTAACTGGGTGTGGTAATGCATACCTGTAATTTTTAGGCTGCGGCAGGAGGACCAAAAGTAACTTAGTTACTTAGTGAGACCCTGTATAAAAAGAAAAAAGGCAGGGGGGAGTTCCTTGTACAGGCCCCTAGGTTCCGACTCAGTACTACAAAACAAAACAGAGAGAATTAACTTTTTATATTGATTACACATTCTGGTGATAATCATTTGAATATATTATATTAAAGAAAATATTACTAAAATTAATTTCATAATTTTTAATTGCCTAAATATGTCCCAAAAATTTTATTAGAATTTAAGAAATTACACATCTAGCTTACAGTTGTGACTTAAGTTATATTTCTGTTGGATAGTACTTAGTTGACCTAAGATGTGCCGGGATCCTTGGGATCCTTGGGTGTTCTCGGGAAATAAGACCTCAGTGAGTTTAGTTGGTAGCAGGCATGTATGCAGAGCTAACCAACAACAGAAGAGCTCCAGAATATGGCACGCTGGTATAAGTCTATGTGTATTTAGTGAGCACTGCTGGTGAGCTGGTTAGAAGTGCAAAATGTGAACAGAATCTGTATTTTAACAGGATTTCCCAGTTACTCATGTGAGCATCAGAGTTTAAGACTGTCCTAGATTAAAGTGTGTGCTGAGCTATAATAAGGGCATGGTACGTCATTATAGATGAAAACAGAAAGTGATTTTTCAAGAGATGTTCCAAATACTTCCTTAAGCATTTTCTTGAGACCTGCAGTCTGGAGGGCATTGTGTTTAGTACACTGAGGGAAACCAAGATGAATCTAGCATGGACCTTGCCCCCAGGAGGTTGCAAATCCATTAGGAAGATAAGGCTTAGAACAAATGAATAAACAGCCTTTGCCCTGTGACAGGTGGTGCAGGGATGGGGTATGTGGGAGCCCAAGAAGTCACTTCCCTGGAAAGAGGAAGAGGACAGACTGGGGTGATAATAATCCGGAAACTGGGCTGTTCTGGACACTGGAAGAGGGAATGGGTTATACACCACAGAGACAGGGCTAGGGAATTCAGGCCAAGAAAACAGTTTGTGATTGAAGTGTTCTTATAAATAATCCTGGGGCAGCTGGTTAGCTTAGCAGAAGTAAGTGGGCATGGTGTGAAATTAGGTTGTAAGGGTGCATTGGGGTCAGAGTGAGAACTTGAGTGGTAGACAAGAATGTGGGCCTTATTTTTTAAGTGGTAGAGCGGTGGAGAGACGGGAAAGTCTGCCGGAAGTTCCAGATTTTTGCTTCTAGCTCTTTGACAGGAATTATTTCACAGTGTGAGGGTTGCATTGGATTAAAGTAGCTCTAGGCCCCTGATCTGATTGGGCCTTCCCTTTCCTCATCTACCTATTGGAAAGGTTAGACTTATGTGGGTTCCATGCTTTTCCCATTGAGGCCTCTGTTTCTTTCTAGTAGATTCCATTAGCTACTTTTTTTTTTTTTTTTTTTGGTCTTTTTCGTTTTTACTGGTACCAGAGATCGAACTCAACAAGTGCCTGCTTCCAAGGCAGGCGCTTATACCACTGAGCTAAATCCCCAGCCCCTCATTAGCTACTTTTTAAATTTAAAAAAAAAATACATAATTTAAGCCTACTATGAAAATGCAACAGTAAACAAGCAATTTGAATGGCAAAGGTCTTTGAGTGCCACCTTCCCTCCTTGGCTCCGTGTCCTGCATTGAAGCCCTAGTCACCATTGGATGTGGGTCCCACATGCCTTTCTTTGTGCATTTACAAACATGTGTGCACACACAGCTTTCTGCAGTGCTATAGCATATATGTTTGATAAATTACTTTTATGCGGAGAGTTTTCAGTGGGAGCTTTCTCTCCTAGTGAACCTCATTTGTATTAACAGAATAATACCAGCATGTATTGTGCAAGCTGTGTCACCTACCATATGGCATTTATTTATTATTATTACTATTTTTGAATCTCACTGTGTAGCCGAGATTGGCTTTAAATTCATGGTCCTTCTATCTCAGTGGCCTAAGTGTGGGATTACAGGTATGTGTCACCACGCCCAGCCTGCAGATTCGTTTATGAAATACAAATTTTACTGTTTTATTAAATAAAGACATAATATATAACCAATAACATGGAGAAATTCACTGTTATCCAGGCCAGAGGAAAATTAAAATATTAAAAGTAGTTTATGAGGCCTTTCTGTCTTACCTCCAAAGGCCAAAGTATGCCTGGGATGTTATCTCCTGGCAACAGATACAATCATAGATGGATTTCCCTGAATGGCAAGTAGTTCTGATGAATAAGGAAGAGAGGGGAGGGAGAGACATCGTAAGGTGCCTTCTCTGGTTAGCTTGAAACTCTTACCTCTGCGAGGTCTCTAAGATCCTGTGCAGCCTGGTTCTCAGGGGCTTGTGAAAACAAGCCCTTTGTGTAACTTCAGGAGTTCACTGAACTCCAGGAGTTGCAGCAGCCCTTCGGGGATTCCCAGCTGTCTTCTGCAAGGTATTTCCTTTAACCCTGTTCCCGAGACCCAGAGAGGTGATCCCTTGGCCAAGGACCACACTAGCAGGTGCCTTAGTTCTTGAACTCAGGCCCATTTGTCTCTACCTCCCAAGCTGTCATGCAGTCTGCCACTTCTTTTTGTTCCTAGGAAATTCCAGAATAGATATAAAATATTGGTAGCTTGAATTAAGAATGATGTGGCACTTCTACTTTTATAGGTCTCCCTTCTGTATTTTCCTGCTACACACTCACAAGGTCATTCTTTCCTTCTCCTGGTTAGGCACAATAAGGCACAAATAGAATCCATGGTGGCGATCCACACAGCAGGGTACTCCAGCCCACCCAGAGCGTCTTGCCCTTCAACCAGGGCTTTCGGGTGCTGACTGTTGGGTTGACAGACCAAGAACTCTTCAAAGTCAAAGTCCCAGAGAGAGGAGCTGACATTTAATGTTGCCAAGACAGGACCTTAGAAAAGCAAGAATCAAGAGCAAAACTATACTGTTACCATTGCTGCAAAAAAGAAAAACAGGGGCTGGGGGTTTAGCTCAGCGGCATAAGCACCTGCCTTACAAGCAGGCAGTCATGAGTTCGATCCCCGGTACCAATAAAAATGAAAAAGACAAAAAAAAAAAAAAAAAAGAAAGAAAAGAAAAACACATCTTAACACCAAAAGGCAAGAGAGTTAGACTTTCAGGACTAACAGAAGCTTTTTAAATAATATAAATTTAGCTTCGTAAAACATTTGGGGGCCTCTGTGTGGAAGCTTATCTGTGTGGAAGCTCTGTTGTAAGTGGTGGGTCCACCAAAAGCTACCACTCGTCATGCCATCTTTATGCCCTAAAATGTATCCCTCTGAGCCTCTCTGCCCTCTCCTCATCCTCATGGAGTAGATAATCATCATAATTACCTGTATCCAGTAGTTACCTAGCACCTTTCTCAGAACTTTGCTCTGTTAACGCTCTTAGCATGCCTATGATGGGAGGTGAGGGGTGTCACTGACTCCCTTGCCAATGAGGATAATGAAGCCACACAGGGAGGAATGGAACCTGTGGCTTGAGACAAGGGCAAAATGGCAGTCACTGCCCAGCTCAGAAGCACTGTGGCTGCATCCTTTTGGGGATATGATATCTGTAGCCCTGGCCCGGGAAGTGTGTGCCTCTTAGGGGAAACTAGCAGATACCCTTGAAAAATCCAACCTTCGAGAGTCAATCACTAGTCAGTGAGAGCGGGTCAGTGTGCTGATGCTGATAGGACCTGCCTGCTGGGATGCTGTAGGAATTCAGCAAGAGAAGCTCCCTGGATATCGGGGTGCTTCCTGGAGGAGATGGGCCTGAGCAAGGCCCTAAGGATGGAGAGCATGGCTGAGAGGAAGGGATTAGTGAGCCCAGGTAACAGGAAGGAGTGCTGAGAAAAACCAGAGACCAGTGGAGAAGAAAAACTTTGCTTCCTGGGCCTGGCTTTGCCATGGCCTTAGAAGGCAGCAGATGATGGGGAGGGTTGGAACCTGTACCTAGGGCTGCGGCTCTCATTTTTACCTCCGCATAGGAAGCTCCTTCCTGCCAGTGACAGAGGCTAGGCAGGGTCTGCTACTATATCTCCAAAGAGCTTCATGGACAGATTGGTGCCACCATGGCAGGGACAGGGGATGGTGGGCTAGTTGAGCATAGGGGTGGAGGCCAGGACTTGAAGGGGCAGGAGCCCCCACGGTGGGACTGGGCCTACATGGAAGGGCAAAACTGTGGACTGGGTGGCCCAGCTCAGGGCCAGCTCAACTGCCCTCAGTCAACAGCATTGGCTACTAAGGTAGGGGTGGCCAGGCTGGTCCAGACCTCTGGGAGGCTTAGGGAAGCCCTGAAGTCCCAGGGCTGGGGGAAGGCACAGGCGACCTTGATAAAGCAGGGGAAAGAAAACGAGTTAAATGCAGGCACTTTTGGCCTCCTAAGCTCTGCACTTTCCCCACTTCTGGTAAGATGAGGACTATGACATAGCGGGCCCTCTGCTCCTGTCTCCAGTCTGATGCTGGTAATGTGACTGCTTCTCCCCTACAAAGATCCTCGCCAGCTCCATCTGAGGCCTGTCACCCTATCTTGTACTTGTTCCTGTATATGTATGTTTATAAACACAACCCCCAGATTGTAAGCCTGAGAGCCCATAACTCTTGGCTCAGCTCCAGCCAGCCTACTCATGCTCAGAGTAAGAATTTCTGAGTGCCAGCCTGGGCTGGAGCCTTTGGGGTCTCAGAAAGAGAGACAGGGCCCAGGCTGCAGCTGCCTGGATTCTGGGCACACACACAGCAACTGGGGACATATAAGCATTTCTCTAAGAACTGTGAGGTGGCCACAGAGCACAGATATGGAAAGGGGGTAGTGATGGCCTCGAGAGAGGCTTCTGAGGGTCGGTTTCCAAGCAGGGTCTTAGGCAAATCATGGCCTCGGGCTTAGAGGGGTCTTCTTCCTAGGGTGCTGGAGAGGAGTGGGGTGGAAGCTTTGGGGTGGAGCCTGCTAACTTGGCTCTGTCCTTTCAGCCACAGTACATGTGTGAGGCCATGCTGATCCTGGGCAAGCTGCATTACGTGGAGGGCTCCTACCGAGATGCCATCAGCATGTACGCGCGGGCCGGGATTGATGATCTGTCTGTGGAGAACAAGCCCCTGTATAAGATGCGGCTGCTGTCGGAGGCACTAGTCATCAAAGGTAGCTGTGACCACCAGCTTGGGCTCCCCACACCATGCCCAGCTCTTTCCTCTCTGGCCCCCGTGTACCTGGAGTGGGTGCTAGTCAAGCGGAGTGGAGGCAGTGTTGGGGGCAGGCCTGCAGGACACCATCCACTCTGAACCCTGGGCTGGGCCCAGATACTAATGTCCAGAGTCGGCACAAGTGGAGGGCTCTCAGCGCCCAGGCTGTGTCCACAACCCTTTGCCCAGGTCTCTGCCCCGGAACAAGCCTCTTTTCCTTTCTTAGCCTCAATTTTTTTGCTGGTAAGATAGGGTCAGCCTCCTAGGGTTCCCATGACCAGGAGGAGTCAGCTGAGTTGTGTGAGCAGGTTGAGAAAGACGTAGTCAGTGTGCCCTCTCCTTTTTGAGCTCTGAGCTGCACGTTGATGCTTGCTGCTGTGGAGGCATCTTTCATTCCCAGACAGGGGCTGCCGGGGCCCAGCAGTAAACAGCTCCTGGCCTGGAGGAGCTCACAGCCTTCCCAGGGAAAGAGCAGTCTGCAGGGAGCTGAAGCACATAGGCATTTCATGAGGGGGCCACTGAACCAGCCTCCAGTTGTGCTTCCCAGACTTTGTTCTTTTAGTCTGTCAGCCCTGGCATGGCCTGAGGATAGGCCTTGGGAGCAGAGAGGTCCTGGGAGCCTCTCTGCCTAGGCTATCCTGGCAGTCTTGGATATTTGCTCTGTTTTTCAGCATAAACCAATCCCCTGGGGAAAGTCTAAAAATGCCATCTGTGGGCCAGTGGCATTTGTTGCCTGGCACTGATAGAGTCCATGTTATCTTCTTTCTATCGTTGATAGGGGCATTTTCTATATATGAGGAAACTGAGGCCCAGAGAGAATCTGTTATCTCACATGAACTTACCCAGATTCATGGTATAACCAAGACTAGAACTTCCACAGTCTGGTGCCTCCAGGCCCTAGCACACACACAAACCCCTCTCTGTCATCTGGGTCCCAGTAATAGTGACTGTGATATACTTGGAGGATACCACACCTCCCCACCTTCCCTGGCTATAGCTGGAGGGGATTTTCTGAGGGTCAGGCTAGGTTCCTAGGTCCTCCATATTACACACTGTCCCAGGAAATCTGCTGGGTTAACTACCCTAGGCAGAGCTGGCACCAGTCTGCAAGAGGGTAGTGTCCATCTGTGATGCCCAGTCTGTTGGGGTCTTCTTGCTCATTCTCGCCCGTCTCCTTGCTTGCTTGTGCCCCCCTCCTCCCTGTGCCTGTGCACAGGTCAACTCGGGGTGATCTTCCTTTGTTTGCCACTTGGGTCTTTTGATCTCCATGGTGACACCCTGATCTAAGCACCTACTTCCACAAGTGTCCTGTTGAGTCATCTGTCATCCCTGCTCAGTACATATTGCTTCCTGTCTCTTGCTCTCTACTCTTTCCAGCATGCCTCCAGCTTCTTGGGGGAACACGATCCACGTGCTCAGAGATCCTACAGGGGAGGTAAGGAGCTGTGTTGCCAGCATAGGTTGCTGGCTCCCCACCCTCTCAGTGACTGCAACCTCTCCGCTGTGCTCCTTATTCTGTCCCAGGGGCCGCACCTGCTGCTTGGCATGCCAGCATTTAACTGACTGCATACTTGAAACCAGGGCAGAGGCCCCCAGCATGTGCATGAAGTGGACTTGCCTGGGCCTGGGGGGAGCTGGGGCCTCTCCATGCAGAGTAAAGGCTGCATGTAAATGGCGATGAAGTTGGCTGGTCACTGGACTTCCTGCATTTGGGAGCATGAGGGAAGTGGCAGCAGGAGTCTCTTGAACTTCCTAAGGGCTCACTCAGAGAGATGTGCCTTCACTGAGACCTCCATGTTAAGTATGAGAAGTTAAGATCTTCAGAGGCTGCTCCTGCGAGATCTCACCAGAAAGTGGCAGAGCCAGCATTTGAACCCAGGCAGCTAGAGCTATTGGGCATCCTGTGATGTCATTGCTCAGAATTCTAGGTTGAAAGGGACCCGAAGTGATCTAGGCCAAACCCTCATGTAAACAAAGTGAGATTGACCAGGGGGACTTGGGTTAGCTTGTATGTGCATCAGGCTCCTCCATGCTCGGGCTGCCCTTCACCTTGGCTCTCTCTGTCTCCAGAGGGCTTCCACCCCTGCCTGGTTCTTACGCAATAGTGGTATAACTATTTTGTATTGGTTCTGCCCATGGTTCTATTTGATACTATCCAGTGGGCTGGGAGTTTGGGCTAGACTTCAAGCATACTAGGCTAGAGGAAGAGGACAGTGTCACAGGGGAGTGCAAGTTGGTCCCACTGGGAAGCTTGGTGGGACCTTATGTAGGCATCTGTAGCTTGGACCTGATGTTCTTGTTTAAGAAGTTGGAGCAAGCTTTGGATTTCTTTGTCCTGCCCCTAAAAGACATGCAAGCCCACTCAACAGACCCTATCTGATCAGGGGGACTTGGCAGTGTGGCCCTCCTCTAAAGAACGCTACAATGCCTACAGTGTGTTAGATCAGAGGTCCTCTGACTATCAGGGAGCTTAGACACTGTTGCCAGGGCTTGTAAGATGGGGGCATGGCAATTGTCTTGGATTCTTCTTGCCCAAAGTGTAGAAATAAGGCACATACATACTTGTTTGGAGAGAGAGAGAGAGAGAGAGAGAGAGAGAGAGAGAGAGAGAGTAGAAGGTGGGTGTCTTAGTCACTCTTTTGTTGCTAAGACACAAGACCTGATCAATTTAAAGGAAGAGAAGTTTATTTTGGCTCATGTTTTAGCCCGTAGACTGCTGGCACCAAACTAAGACAGCATGGCACAGAGGGATGGCAGAGGAGAAGCAGCTCATGGCATGGTGGCCAAGAAGCAGAGAGATGCAGCGGGGGAGTTGGGAAAGGAGATACACCCTTCCTGATCACACTTCCTATGACCCTCCTCTTCTGACCAAGCCTGACTTTTTAACAGCAAGTCAACTGCAGTTCCCCAATAATCCAGTTGCCTTTCAGAAGCCTAACCTATGAGCCCATGAGACTTTTGGGGAACATCTAGATATACACATAACATCTGATCCCCCAAAAACACATGAGCATTTTTTTTATGCATAATACATTTTGTCTATCTCTAAGAGTACCAAAGTCTTAACAGTTTCAGCATTACAGAAATGTCCAAGTCAGGCTCCTAGAGACTCACAGCAAACTCTTAGCTGTGAGTCCCTATAAAAATAAAAAAGAAATTCAGCATAGCATGGTGGTGCATTCCTATAATCCCAGCACTTGAGAGGCATGAGGCAGGAGGATCATTGTGAGTTTGAGGCCTACCTAGGATAAGTTAAGAGTTCAAGGCCAGCCTGAACTGCATAATATGATCCTACCTCAAAACAAAACAAAACACAGAAAGTTAAACACTACCAAAATACAATGGCACAGGGTAAACATTCCTATTAGAAAAAGGAGGAAAAGAGGGATAGAAACCTAGAGGGCCAAAGCGAATCCAAAACCCAGCAGGACAAACATTAAATTTTGTAGTTGCATATCAAGCACCCAGAGCAAGTTATGGCAAGGTACAAACTACAAAGGGCTTGGGCAGCCCTGCCTGTGTGGCATTGCCAGAGGTTATAACCCTCTTAACTTCTCTCAGGCCAGCTTTGCCCACTCCTGTGGTTTTCTTCAGAGGTGATGCATTCCTGGCTTCTCCAACTCTTTGGAGTCTAGACTGCATTTTTGGCTGCAGTCTCACAGCTTCCCCAACTGCTCTCTCAGATACACACTGCCTGTACTCAGGCGTTCTTCTGAAATCTTGGTGGAAACCTCCATAACTCCATAATTCTTATATGCTGCATGCACCGCCTGAATGACCAAGGTCTCTGCTGGTTCTAGTGGTAGCCAGTCCCTTTTGGATCATGGCTGCAGGGGCCTCTTAGTGCCTAAATGACTGAGGCTGTGACTAACATCCTAGGAAGCCAATTTCCTAGCTGGCCTTTCTGGAGCAAGAGACCCTGAGGGTCTCTTCTTAAAGTAAAGCCTAACTTTTCTATCCTGGCGTCTGAATGACGGGGGTCTTTTCTCCTATAGCCTCAAGGCATATTTTTTTTTGTCCCTATGTAAAGTGTTTGTTTTCTTTTTAATACTAATCTTTTCAGCAGCCAAGTTCTCTTTTGCTCCAACTTTACAGTTTCCAACTATAAAGGAGTTTCCTTTCTGATAAAACTCAACTTTATAGATTACCCAGCTGTGCCATTTGCTCTTGATTCTCAATGTAGGCCTCATTAAAAGCCCCTGGCAGTACCCATGCCCATGCCTGTGCCACAGCCTGAAAATTGGGCTACTTTGAAAGTTTCTCAACCAGATTAGTCTGCCACCCATAATCTCAACCTCCCTTAGAATCTCCAGACATGAATATTATGCCTTTTTTTTTTTTTTTTTTTTTTGGTACTGAGGATCGAACTCATGACCTCGCGCTTGCCAGGCAGCTGCTTATGCCACTGAGCTAAACCCCTGGCATCAGAACATGAATAAAATGACAGATTTTCTTACATAGCGTAACAAAATGCTGTGGAGTCCTGTTTCCAGCTGAAACCTGAACCTGGGCTGTACTTTCTGCTTTTTTATTTTCTTAATCAGAATTTTGGTCTTCTGAGCTTCCAAGAGATTCTTTCATCATGCTTGACGTACAGTATTCTAGGACTGATTTTCCGACTGGCATCTCCAAACCTTTCCAAACTCCTTTAAGCTATTTCCAAAGGCTTCTGAACCACACGGAGGGTAGCATCACAAGAAGGATCCATCTTGTTTGGCACCAAAATCTGTCTTGGTTACTTGCTTGTTGCTGAGACACAGTACCTGATACCTGCAATTTTAAAATGGAGAGGTTTGTTGTAGTGGCTGAGAAGTAGAGAAAGTCACTGGGGGAACCTGCAAGGGAGATGAACCCTTCCTGAGCACATCTTTGGGAGCTGCCTCTTCCAACCAGGCCCCATCTCCTAACGAGTCAGCCATGATGTTCCCTCAACCCAACCATCTTTACAAAGCTCACATT